CACTGAAGCGGCCACAGCCAGCTTTGCAGTGCCACTGCCAGCCCGCTGCACCACCAGGGAGGGCCCCAACCCTCTCTTTTTAACAGTTGAAACTGGGTCCAGAGTTACATTTAAAGATGTTTAAGATGGTAAATCTTATGGGATGTGTAGTTTATAAAGCTACACATATTTAAGATGCATTTTTTTGATGGAAAAATATTAGGCCCAGAGAGGTTATGTTGCTTGTCCAAGGTCACACAGCCATCAGAGGCGGGAGAAAATTTCTGTCTCGAGCTCTTTTTTTGGCCCACTCCCCCACCCCGGGGCAGCCCTACCCCCGTCCCCCATCCCCTGCTCCCCACCTCCCCCAGGCCCCTCACCATCACAGGCCGGGCAGCAGGGCCCCCTGGCAGGGAAAGGGCACTGTGCCGGGGCACAGGCCCGAGGCTCACAGCTGACGCTGCCCTCCCAGCAGAGGCAGACTTGGCAGGTGGCAGTGGGCGAAGGGAAGCGCTCCCCACTGGCAAACTCCTTCCCCTGGTACAGGCAGCCTAGGGGCAGATAAAGGGGCTCGGGCTGGGTGACTGTCTGCTGGTCAACACTCCAGGCCTGGTAGACGGGGCACTGTCCCCCCATATTATTTGTGAGAACCCCAACATGGGAGGGGCAGGCCTTGAGGAAGGAGATACCAGGGTGGCACCCCATCTGGGGCTGGAGAAAGAGGGATGAAATGAGGGGGACAGAGGGAGAGGGTTGGAGGAATGGGGAGCAGAGGGGACCCTGAGTGGGGGGCCCGCAGGGCATTACCGTCACAGGAGGGGCAGCAGGGCCCCTGGCGTGGGTGGGCGCAGGGCGCGGGCGGGCAGGGCAGCGGCCGGCAGGACACGGAGCCGTGGAGGCAGAGGCAGAGGCGGCAGGGGTCCCCCGGCGGGGAGAAGTGCTCCTGGTGGCGTGCGGGGACTTCACTCCCGGGCAGCGAGCAGTCGGAGGGGGCAGCTGCGGTGACATGGAGAGTCTGGGGATCCAGGGAGAGGCTCGGGGGTCCCCAGGGAGAAGCGGCCTGCGGGGCGCAGTCCCTACCTGGGCACTGAGGGCAGCACTCCCCGGGCAGCAGGGCCGGCTCCGGGCAGGACAGGGGCGGGCAGCGGCGGGCCAGGCACTGCACGCTGCCACTCTGCAGGGACAGGTGGGCCCCACCAGGCGGGGCTGGGGGTGGGAGCCCAGGAGACCCAGCCCCTCACCCCACCTGGGCACCCCTCAGGACCTCCCCACGCCCTGCCCCGGGACCACCGTCCCCAAGGCCCACTCACCAGACAGCGACACAGGCGGCAGGCGTCGGAGGGGTGGGGGAACTCAGCTCCACTGGGGTACTCTTTCCCTCCAAAGGCACAACCTGGGGGAGGGGCAGCTCTGGGCCTGGGAGGGTCCCCGCTGCTGCCCTCCCAGCCCTAAGTGCCCACTGCTGGGCCGAGCGCCCCCCTGGGGCCCCAAGCCCCCCACCTGCACCTCACCCTGGCAGTTGTTCTGGCAGCAGGCTCCGGGCAGTGGGTGTGCACAGGGGGCCTTGGGGCAGGCGCGAGGCTGGCAGCGGGCCTGGCCTTCCAGACACTGGCACTCCTGGCAGGGGTCTCCGGGGTGGGAGAAGCTCTCGCCGTCCACAAACACTTGCTTCTCCAGGACACAGTCTGAGCCGCGGGGGGAGGAGTGGGCAAAGTCAGCAGTGCTGGGAGCAGGCCGACAGCCCTCTGCGCCCCGAGTCCAGGCCACCGCACAAGCACCCAAGGAGGGCGAGAGGCGCTGTCTGTGCATGGGTGTCTGTGCCCTCGGCAGAGGCGACGCCCGCTGCCTGAGGCGTGGGCTGGTGGCCAGCACGCTCGGTCGCCTGCACGCTGGTCCAGGCGTTGCTGGCGTGAAGCCGTGTACTTGCTCGCCAGATAGACCTATGGAGGAATCTGGGTGCTGGGGGTGTTGAAAGGAAACGCAGTCTGGGGGTGGAACAACACGAAGGGGTAAGCCCGTCGCTATCCCCGCCACCTGTGGGTTCCGGAGACCTCCCAGCTGTGCCAGGCTGAAACGATTCAGGAGACCGACGCTTTCTAAGGAGACTGCTGAGCCCACAGGGTGGTGAGAGGGCCAGGTCCCCCCGCCAGACAGCTACTGTTAGCACCCACCTGGGCATCTGGGGCAGCACTGGCCTGGTCCATTCCGCGGCCTGGCACAGGTTGTGGGAGGGCAGCTGACCAAGGAGCACCTGACCGTGCCGTCCTGCAAGCAGGGACAGGGCAATGGGGGCAGGTCCAGGCGGGGCCCTCGGCAGGGCGGCAGCTGGCCCAGGTGTACCTGGCAGTGGCAGGTGTGACACGGGCTCTCTGTGTCCGTGAAGTTCTGCCCGTTAGCGAACACGTGGCCGCGGTAGGTGCAGCTCTCGCACTGGGGGCAGCACGTACCTGGGCAGGGCGGGCTGGTCAGAGTCCAGCAGTTTCGAAAAGGCTGGCCAGGCCGGGGAAGGGAGCTGGGCGGAGATGGGGACTCACCGGGGAGCTGGGTGGGGTGCTGGCACGGGGCTGGGGAGCAGAGCACAGCGCGGCACAAGGGCACCCCATCTTGACAGGAGCAGGCTGTGCAGGGCTGACCGTCAGGTTCCCACTGGACCCCCTCAGCAAACTCCTCTCCATCAAGCACACAGGCTAGAGCAGGGGGTGCCGTCAGCATGACAACCTGCGCACCTCCACTGTCCGTCCCCCCCAGACCACTCCCCCTCCGCAGGACCCTGCCTTTCCACCCCACCACCTCCTCTCAATACACTGCCACTCTGGGCTGGCTAGTGGGCGTCGCCCTGCCCCAGCCTGGCAGTGGAGGGTCCCCTCCACCTCCAGCCGCTGCAGGGGACACCCCCCTCCACAGCTTTCTTCCTCACACACCTGGGCAGAGCTGGGGGCCAGAGTCAGACAGGGTGCAGGGGGCGACCGGGCACCCCTGCTCCTCACAGGAGACCTCGCCGGCCTAGGGAGGGAGGCTGGGTGAGAGGACTTCAAGGGACCAGACACACCCACGACATGAGGCGGCAGACGGCTACCTGGCAGGAGCAGAGGCTGCAGCGGCCACTCTCTTGGAGTCTGAAAGTCTCCTGGTTCTGATACTGGTGTCCCTGGTACTCACAGCCTGGACAGGAGGACAGGGGGCCGGGCAAGCCTCGCTCTCCCTCGCTCAGGTGCACCCCCCACCTGGACAGCCACCCATGTCCTCCAAGGACACTGCCAGCCTCCTCCTGTCCCCAGGAGTGTGGAGCCCACAGCAGTGCCCAGGCCACCACGAGAAGGTGAGGACTCATCCCCCAAGGGTGTTGACAGAAGCTTGTGTTTGTAAAGGGTTTCCCTTGTGCTTGAAATTCAAGGGTGGGCCCTCCCTGGTGGCGCAGCGGGTAAAAGCACAGCACTAGGAGGCTGAGGCCACTTCTGCATGAGTTCGATTCCCGCCCTGGAGGTGACCACATGGCGTGGCAGACCTCTCCTGACCCGCCCGCTGCTCCCCTCAGCAGTGTACTTTGTCAGTCTGCCTGTTCTGCTCCCCACTCTCTCTGGTGAATTCTCTCACCACCCCTGCACCTCTGGCCAGTACCCTAGTTCTGTATGCAAAAAATAAATAAATCTTTTTAAAAAAAAAAAGAAATTCAAGGGGCTTCCTGGGGAGCAAATCCCACCTCAGGAGTCCCTCTCTGGCCCAAGCGTGTCCCTCTCCAGGTCTCGAGCCCCCACTCACCGTCGCAGACTGGACAGCACTGTCCAGGGATCCTGCCTGGGTGTCTGCAAGGCACAGGTGGGCAGGGTGGAGGCTCACACTGGACACTTCCGTTCTGCCAACATGGCCTGGTCAGCAAGCAAGAGGCAGGCCCGGAAGCCAGGCCCCCCTCCGCCAGGCAGCCACACTCACGGCACAGTGGCAGTGCGAGCAGGGGTCCCCGGAGTCCACAGTCTCCCCGCTGCGGTACTCACGCCCATTTAGGAAACAGCCTGTCAGGAAGAGGGTGCCTTAGACCCTCCTCAAGATGCCCCTGGGCCCCTGGCCTCTGAGGGAGACCAGCTGTCTGAACACCCCCACGGGCTCCCCTCCCCCGACTCACCATCACACACAGGGCAGCAGGTGCCTGGCAGGGGCCGGGCAGGGTACGGGCACAGGCTGGCACATTCTCGCTGACGGCACTGGACATGGCCTTCCTGGGCAGGGGCAGAGTGGACAGTGACGGGGCCACCAGAGCTCAGTCAAGTGTCAGATCCAGCACTGGAGTCTCAGGTGTCACTTAGTAGACGTGGTTATGAGATGGACTGTGCCCCCCTCCCAATGGGGTGCTGGCACCCTAACCCCCAGAACCTCGGAACATGACCTACTAGGGAAATGAGCTCATGGCAAATATAGTTCGTCAAAATGAAGACATCCTGGATTTCTGCCAAGGGGCGCCACAGGTGGCCAGCGAACCAGCGCGAGGAGAAGCTTCTCCCTCGCGGCCCTCAGCAGGAACCTGCCCTGTCTCCATCTCCCACTTTTGCCTCCAGAGCCCAGACAACACTTTTCTGTTGTTTGAGCCACTCGCTCAGCGTGTGGTGCCTCGCAGCCCTAGGAAGTGAATACAGATGTGTCACGGCACGTGACTGAGCCTGCGGTGACTCAGTTTACCCGTATGGAGAGAGGCGGTAAGAGCCCCATCCTCATGGCCTTGTTATGGGGATGATATGGGGTGAAGCTACGGCAGCTGGTGGTCACAGGCTATTCCCACGGGCTATACCCCGACACACCACGCCCAGGGTTCACGTGTGGGCTCGCCAGCTCTAGTCCTGGGAGTGTCTGGGGATTGGCTTTCCTTGCAGGTGGGGAGGAGGGGGCAGTGAGAACAGAGAAAAGGAACACAGGACTGCCCGGGGTTGGGAGCCCCGTGGCCTTCACGATAAGGCCCTTAGGCCTTGTCAGGCCATCGGGAGCTCAGTGGCGTCAGCTGCCATGGACACAGCCCCGCTCAGGACCACAGCCCCGCATGGCCAAAGTCTCCTCCCCAGGCTTTGTCTTGACTGCACCACAGACCTGATGGCCGAGTCCTTCTGGACTGCTGGGATGAAGCCTGTAGGCTGGGTGGCTCTTTTTTTTTTTTAAGATTTATTTATTTGTGTATACAGAACTGGGGTACAGGCCAGAGATGCAGGGGCGGTGTGAGGATTCACCAGAGACAGTGGGGAGCAGAACAGGCCGACTGACAAAGTGCACTGCTGAGGGGAGCAGCGGGCGGGTCAGGAGAGGTCTGCCTCGCCATGTGGTCGCCTCCGGGGCAGGCGGGAATCAAACTCATGCTGAAGTGGCTTTAGCTTCTTAGAGCTGTGCTTTAACCCGCTGCGCCACAGGGAGGGCCCTAGGTGGCTCTTTAACAGCAATTTAGTTCTCAGTTATGGAGGCTGGAAATCCAAGGTCAAGGGGCCAGCAACTCAGTGTCTGGTGAGGACCTGCTTCTTCCTTCCTAGGTGACATGGCCATCTTCTCCACAGAGAGGCTCTAACTGCCTGCACTCCCTTCTACAAGGTGCTAATCTCGCGTGGGCCCTCCCAGGATGACTTAATCATCTCCCAGAGACCCCCACCTCCTCATACCATCAACTGGGGGGGGGTCATAATTTTAACAGTTCTTTTCTTTTGGGAGCGGAGGACACAGCCACTCAGGGTCTAGAAGCTGGAGTGCCTCCCCCAAATCTGCCCGCTCCAATCCTGCTCCCCCTTTCAGACCTAAGTGGACACAACTTCCTCCATGCAGATGTCTAGATCTGTGCTGCCCAGTGGCACCAGAATGCAAGTCACCTGGCATTGGAATTTTTCTTTTTAAAATTTGTAAATTTCAAAAAACAGACAAAACTAAATTTTTATCATCAGCCCCAAATATCAAAATTAATTCGACATGCAGTAAATATAAATATTAGTGAGGTATGTGTATCTCTTTCACTCGAAGTCTTTGAAATCCGGTGTGTAGTTTATACTCACAGCCCATCTCACCTGGAGGCCACCAGATGCCTCAAGTCACCCTCGGTCCTCCCTCCCCTGGGCTTTGCTGCCTGCCACACTCAGCCTGCAGTTACTCACTATGCTAACCCCCTGTCCACATGGCTACAAGCCTGTCCCTTTACTCACAGCACCCCAAATCAGGCCTCCTGCCTCCTGTGCCCTCACAAAGCCAGGTGGATATGCTCAGAGGAATGAAGGAGTGAATAGGGTGCTCCTGGTTTGGGGGGCCGGGGAGAGACTAGGAGCAGCGTGGGGCTCACCAGGCAGCGGCAGATCTGGCAGGGGTCTCCAGGCACTGTCCACTCTTGGCCATGTTCCCGGTGAGAGCCTCCTTCCGTGCAGCCTGGATCTGGGGGCGAGACAAGCAGAGAGAGGCCCGGTGGGACCTGGCCTGGCCCTCAGCATCAGCCTGCCCCTGTCCAGCTCCACACGCCCTCTGAGGACGCTCTCCTAGTCCAGGCCAGGCCAGGCCAGGCCTCTGCCTAGAACCCTCGGTGGCTCCCGGTCCCAGGCAGGTGAGGCCCACCCTTCTCAGCCTGCCCTTCTGGGTCCTCCAGGATCCAGCAAGGGTACATCTGCCCAGTGCCCACCCAGCCCTGAGCCGTGCCAAGGCCTGACACATCTCACTATACTTGGACCATCAGTGCCTACTTGCTCCTTCCCAGCTAACATACACCCAGTCCGAGTGCCAGGCCCAAGCCTTTGTTCAAACCATCAGTCTCTTGCAGGAATGCCCTAGGCCTTATTTCACCCTTCACCCACCTAACTGCTCTTTATCCTGAAGTTTCCCTCAGGACATTGCCTCTAGGGTGCTTTCCCTCCCGGCTCCACGCTGGACTAGGTCTCCCTTCTCTGAATTTCCGCCTGCTTCTGTTCCACCCTCTCCAGAAAAACCAGCTTGTGACTCAGTGTCACCCTCTAGTACTTATGAGCACAAACCAGGTAAGAGTCAACGTTTACTAAGGTCTGTAAGGTCAGTAGCCACACCCAACACCCTGGGGGCCCAGGCCAAGCAGCTCACTCGAGGCTCACGGCCACCGAGCGCCAAGAGAACCAAGCGTGGCCGGCGTCACCGTCCCAGACACAGACCAGCCCCAGCTCTGAGCCAGCAGAGTGGGCCCGGGAGCTGAGGACATGGTGTGACAACCCCGCCCCCGCCCGAGCTCTGTCAGAGGGTCAGCACTCTCACCTGGGCAGGTAGGGCAGCAGTGCCCAGGTCTTGGCACTGGCTCAGGGCAGGGTCTGGGAGGGCACTTCACAGGCACGCAGCGAACCAGTCTCCTCTGGAACAGACCCAGAGAGTAAAGCCCCCCCAGGGGGCCCCCGGGGGGGGGGCCAGAGTGACAGAGCATGTCAATGGCATGAGGCCGTGGAAGGCATGTGGGGGGCTCAAAGTTGTGGCCCAGGGCAGGGGTATCCGAGAAGGAACAGGGCCTGGGCAAAAGTGCGGGGCTTACCAGGCAGGAGCACCGGAGACAAGGGTTGGAGCTGGACTGGAAGCTGACTCCCTCCTCATAGACCTGCCCCTCATACTCACAGCCTGGGGAGGGCGCCAGGACGAAAGGCTGGTCAGCGGAGAGCAGGGCGGGTGGACACCACCCGAGGGAAGACCTGACCCCAAGCAGGTACTGGACACTCTGGGGCTGAGGGCCGGGGAGCAGGGTGGGAGGTCACCTGGCCGGCAGACAGGGCAACACTCCCCAGGGGGTGTGTAGCTTTCCAGGCAGTTGAGCTCTACACACGAGGGCCTCTGGCACCGCACGGTCCCTGCCTGCGGGTAGACACTGAGCCCTCGTCCCTCCCCACTGCCCAAGCCCAGTCATTCTGCTGGCCCAGAAGGTCTCACGGGCTCAAGGCTTCGATGGCTGGGAGGTGGCAGCAGCCCAGTCTGGCCCCTAGGTCGGGCTTGGCCTTGCCAGACAGAGTAAGCTGAGCACCAGGGACGTAGGTGGTGGCAGGGCCAGGCCCTGATTACCTGGCAGGTGCAGATGACACAAGGCTCCTGTTGCCATGTTTCCCCAGCCCTGCGGCCTCCAGGGCAGCCTGCAAAATTAGGACCAGACCCCCAAGTAAGAGACCAGGACAGCGGGTAAACGGGGCACCATTCAGGGCTTTGTATTTCCTACATCTTTCCAGCAGGTGGCAGTAAAGAGCGCCACAGTGACTTTGGTCCTGTCCCAGGACACAAGGGAGTGGACTGTTTCGAGCGGTCTTTTCTCCTCATCATCATATGGCCTCAGAGCGGCCGAGGCATCCCATGTCCTGCTGGTGGTCTGCGTGAACCCCTTCCCTCTGAGGCCCATCAGTCCCAAGGCTTCACTCCTCTTCTCTGGCTGAGATTCCTGGACTGCTCTGGTCTCCCAAGAGATTCCTCCTGGGCAGGGCTACCAGTGGAAACACAGGACAGCCAGTAAAACTGGAATTTCAGATAAACAAAATGTACTTTTTAGTGTAATTTATGTCCCCAGTACCACAAGGGACATACTTACTCTGAAAAAAGTATGTGTTGTTCATCTGAAATTCAAATTTAACAGGGCATCTTGAACGTCGACTTCATAGATCTGGCAACCCCACCCCACTGAGTGCGATCCAGCTACAGCCCCCTGCTGCCGCTGCTTCTCAAGTTCTCTTGGTCACTGGCACCCCTAGTTTTTCGTATCACGCAGACCCCTGCCTATTCTTAAGAGCACCTCTCTTCTGCAGCCCGCTGCCATTCCTAGGTCTATGCGAACCAACAGCAGGAAGCGCCCCTAACGGTCTCTGCGGCTAACCCGCACCAGTGAATATTCCTGAGACTCTGTGAACACACCAGGCTCTGCAGACCTCAGTGGCTCCGTGTGGCCCGAGGAACGAGGTCCACGCTGCGAGGTTGGCAGTCTGCTCTGGCCTTCCCAGACTTAGTTCCAGCAGCTGCCCTCTACCCCGCCTGAGCTCCAGCCCAGAGGGCCCTTCAAGACTGTCCCCCATGGTGGGCGCCCACTGTCCCCTGAAAACTCAGCTCAGCACCCCATTATCTGTAAAGTCCACCCTGACTGCTTAGTCTGATTGGGTCTCCTCTCCTCCAGCCCCTCTGCTTTGGCAACTAACCCCTTAGTCCCCTTAATCTGTTCACTGGATCTTAAATCGTGATTATATTTGATACATGTTTAATTTTCAACTAGATCACAAGCTCCCTGGGGACAGGAGAAAGCACAAAAAGCACCTCTGGGGGCCCTCCCTGGTGGCACAGTGGGTTAAAGCGCAACACTGAAGCGGGCCCCAGCCGCTTCAGCACGAGTTCAATCCCTGGCCCTGGAGGTGACCCACATGATGCAGCAGACCTCGCCTGTCTCTCCACTGCTCCCCTCAGCAGTGTCCTTTGTCAATCTGCCTGTTTTGCTCCCCGCTCTGTCTCTGGTGAATCCTTTCACTGCCTCTGCATCTCTAGACTGTACCCCAGTCTTGTATGCATAAGTAAATAAATCTTTATTTTAAAAAGCAAAAAGCAGACCCTCCCTGGTGGCACAATGGGTTAAAGCACAGCACGAAGAAGCTAAAGCCACTTGCACATGAGTTCGACCTCCGCCCCGGAGGTGACCCACATGGTACGGCAGACCTCTCCTGACCTGCCCTCTGCTCCCCTCAGCAGTGTACTTCAATGATCTGCCCATTTTGCTCCCCACTCTCTGGTGAAGCCTCTCACCACCCCTACAACTCTGGCTTGTACCCTAGTTCTGTATGCACAAATAAATTTAAAAAAAAAAAAAAAGCAAAATGTGGCCCTCCCTGGTGGCACAGCGGGTTAGAGCACAACACTGAGAATCTGGAGCCGCTTCCGCATGAGTTTGATTCCCGCCTGCCCCAGAGGTGACCACATGGCCCAGCAGACCTCTCCTGACCCGCCCGCTGCTCCCCTCAGCAGTGTACTTCGTCGATCTGCCTGTTCTGCTCCCCACTCTGTCTCTGGTGAAGCCTCTCACCACCCCTGAGCCTCTGGCCTATACCCAGTTCTGTATGCACAAATAAATAAATCTTAAAAAAAAAAAAAAAAGGCAAAAAGCACCTCAGTTGTCCAGTAGTTGCTGACTTGCGATTCAGCTCTGAACTCCCCTTGCCATCTCCAGAGTGAGAGAGCAGGCCCTCACTGGGCATATGGCAGGGTCAGTCCGCAGACTAGGTTTTGGGGGGCCCAGAAAGCGTGCAGGAGGCGGGGCTGGGCGGAAGGAGGCTGACCTGGCTCACAGTGCAGGCAGCATGCTCCCGACTCTGGGCAGGGGCCTTTTGGGCAAGGCTTCTGGGTGCAGGTTATGGCTCCTTCCTGTGGGGGAAGCAGACTGGTGACTAACTGCACAGGCACAGGCTTCCAGAATGCAGACCTCACCCCCAAGTGGGACACACAGAGGAGCAAGCTCAGGAGACCTGGGTCACCCTGGGCCCAAGGTCAGAACGAGACATCCTGTCCTTTCCCCAACATCACTTGTAGCTTTCAACTTCCAACATCATTTCCTCCAGGTGCTGGCAAATCCCGCAGAGTGGAGAAATCCAAGGCAGGAAACCAAGGGTTTTCTCAAAGGAAGACTGAGGAGTTAGGAGAAGTAAAGGAGGGCAGACAGGCCAGTGGGACTGAGGTAGGAGGCAGGGGCGGGGGGTAGGTGGGGGCAGTGAGAGGTGACACAGAAGCCAACAAGTGCATTCTCCCTGCCCTCACGCCACTGTTTGCCAGGTCTGATCCAGAGGGGCCAGGGCCCCACCCCCACCCCCAGTGTTTGGTGGTTTAACCTCAGAAAGTAGAACTACTTGGAACTATCTGGGGGCCAGAGATGACCAGATTCCGGGGCAGGGGCAGCCAGAACCCATTATTTAACACTCAACACCCCGGGCAGACAGAAGGGCTCAGTACAGAACACCCAGGGCGTCAGAGACACTCACCAGGCAGAGGCAGGTGGTGCAGGCATCTGGGGAGAAGGTCTCCCCATGGCCATAGGCCTGGCCATTGTGGCTACAGCCTGTGGAAGAGACAGGGCGGTCCTCTGGCTTCCAGGACCATCACCAGTCCCTAAGGGAACCCCAGCCAGTAGACCAGATGGCACTCACCATGGCAATGGGGACTGTCGGGCTTGGGGTCACAGCGCACAGCCCCGTCCTGGCAGGTGCAAGCCCTGCAGCCATCAGGCTCCCAGCGAGCCCCCTCGGGCCAGGCCTTCCCCAACCCCCAACACTGAGGAGAAGCTGGGCGGCATTCGCAGGATTCCAACAGTTTCACCCTTGTCTGCAGCTCCTTGTTCTAGGGAAAGAGGGGGCACTGGGGGTGCTGCCTCAGCTCCCCTACCATCTCATGCATATTTGCACGTTGTGAAAATGAGTCTCTTCCCCAGAGTGAGGGGGTCGCTTCAAGACAGCACTAATTTCAAACAGCCACAGTCCTGGGCTACCCGGGGGGGTGGGGTGCTAGGGTACCCCCAGGCCTCTCCTTCAGAGAACCCCATCTTCCTCTCCCAACAGTTAAGGACCTTTTTGTCCAGCTTCAATCTCTCCAGATGATTCCTTAGATACAAGAGTTACAGCAGGTATTTGCCAAAAACATGAAAGAGTATAAAGATTTGCTCTGCCGATATGGAATACCCTAGAGGTTCTTCATTGATGTGTGAGAAGCAATATAACTGTTCCTTTAAGAAACTAACCACACACATTTAAAGCAAAACTCTGTTTTCGAGTGCCGGGGTCCCCTTTCTCGAAATCTCTCCCTCCCAGGGTACCCCCCACCTGGCCCTCCCACCAGGGGTACCTGCTCTCTGAGCTGGGTCACCTCTGCCTCCAACCTTCCCAGCCGCTCCTCCAGGGGGCGCCACTGCTGCTGGGGGGCCCCAAGGGGTGCTGAGAAGTGGGGAGCCAGCAGTTGGTAGTCCTGGATGTCAGCAAGCCTTGGGGGTCCCCTGGTGACAGCCCCACCTGAGTGCAAGCAGAAATCAGGGTGGGCCTCTGGGGAGGGGCTCCCCGAGTTTCCTGGGTAAGTCACCCTGTGCCCACCTGCCTCAGGAAGGGGATGTGGTAGCGAGGGTGCTGCCCTGACAGCATGGAAGGAAGAGGGGGAGTCCCTGAGTGGACAAAAGTGGCCCAGACCAGGAGTCCCAAGTAGCAAGAACCTGCCCGAGGTGTGGCCACACGGGGGCGTGTCCCAGTCACCCACCCTCACTGCAGCCAGGGCCTTAGCCAGGGGCAGCCTAGGGGCTGGGGGCTGTCCTGCTGGGAGGGAGCCTGACAGGTGGGTCTGCCTTAAGCTGCGGGATGAGGGGCTGGTGTGAGGATCTTTTAGGGGATGCAAGGGCAGAAACCCCCACCCACCCCCAACTGCCCGTCTTCACCTGCCAGAAAGGACAGCATTTCTGGAGAACATGAGCAGAGGGGGGCATCTGCTTTCTCTGTTCCCACCCCAAGCCTTGCCACAGTCCCTAGGCTGGTGGAGGTGGGGCACATAGGCAGGAGGGACCCCTGGGGCTCCCTTTTTCTCTCATACTCCACGTGCCTCCATCAGTCTCCAGTCTCCAGGGCAGCCCCCACCTTCCTGCCCCGTCTCCACTCGGGGCTGAGGACAACCCTTGCCCTACTCTTCCTAAACCACCCACTCACAGGCTCTGGCCGCCAGTCCACAGACCCTCTGCAGTGGCTCCCTCTCTTCAGCCGGCCCTGAGTCCTGGACCTGAGTCCTGGGTGCCTGTCCCTGGGGAAGCAGCTCTTGGTGTCACTCCTTACCTAACTTCAGCCCCCAAAAGAGCAGGCAAAGGCGGGGTCTCAGCATCTTAAACCCTGTCCCAGCTTGACTTCCCAAGCTCTACACCCCTTCTTCCAGGCCGCTCCTCCAGACCTGCTTGTGCTGGTTACAATTAGGGGATCAGGCAGAATCTGGGGGTGCTGGGACCCTCAGGGTGGGCCTCTGGGGAGGGGCTCCCCGAGTTTCCTGGGTAAGTCACCCTGTGCCCACCTGCCTCAGGAAGGGGATGTGGTAGCGAGGGTGCTGCCCTGACAGCATGGAAGGAAGAGGGGGAGTCCCTGAGTGGACAAAAGTGGCCCAGACCAGGAGTCCCAAGTAGCAAGAACCTGCCCGAGGTGTGGCCACACGGGGGCGTGTCCCAGTCACCCACCCTCACTGCAGCCAGGGCCTTAGCCAGGGGCAGCCTAGGGGCTGGGGGCTGTCCTGCTGGGAGGGAGCCTGACAGGTGGGTCTGCCTTAAGCTGCGGGATGAGGGGCTGGTGTGAGGATCTTTTAGGGGATGCAAGGGCAGAAACCCCCACCCACCCCCAACTGCCCGTCTTCACCTGCCAGAAAGGACAGCATT